CTGCGCAGCCCTCGGAAGCTCCCAGAAAGACCGCGCAGACTCGCCCCACGGGCTCCAGACGCATGGGTCCCGATTATTATCCGAGGCTGGTCCTCCTCAGACACCTGCCTGCCATCTGTGGAGAAACGTCGCGAGCGAGCCCCACAGATCTGTGGYGTCTGACATGTCAACGGGGCCTCCCGGGGTGGCGCAGCGCCCACCTGCCCCTCAGAGTGGCCTCCCAGTGACCCCAAGTGACCCCACACCACAGGGAGACGGCCCCGAGGTGTGCTGGGTGGCTGGGGAGGGTGGGGCGCGAGGGTCGGGTCGGTTTCATGTCGCAGCCCTGTCCCACCCCCGATGTCCGGGGGATGTCCGGGGGGCGCCCGTCCTCTGCAGCTCTGGTTGGGTGGGCTGTGCTGACCTGCTCCCTGGGTCACTGCTGTTCGCCAGGGTAAACAGTCCCCAGAAAGTGACCGTGAGGCTCTCCCAGCACGCAGCCCCAGATGGGCCTCGGTGCCCCCACTGGGCCCCAGGGGACAGGGCTGGAGTCCAGACTGTGATCAGAGTGGCCACACTCAGGTGTCTCCTCTCTTTCTTCCTCCTCCTCCTCCTCCTCCTCCTCCCCCTTTTTTTTAAACTGGGGGAGGGGAGAGGGGAGAGACTGTCTTTGATCTCAGTGGAGGAAAAAAGTCTGTTCTGTTCAGGCTTTTGGCTAACACAACAAACAGTGTTTAAAATTTAACTTTGCTTAATTAATTAGTGATTCTGTTTAATGCTGTCTGATCTCCCTCCAAAAGGTATTCTGAAGCTTGAGAAGGGAACATCAAAGCGAGCTGGGTGAAGATGGTCAAGTAATGCATTTAATCTGGCAGTTGTTGGGGGTGGAGAGCAGCCAGGTTGGGAGCTAATGTGGGAGAGGATTGTCATTTGGTAAACATAGAGCGGACTCCTTGTGGCTGGGGCTGTGGTGGAAGGAAGGATAGGGAGCAGCTTCCAAAGAGAAAGAGCTCCACAGACTGTCCCCAGACTCACTGGGGCTGAGAATCAGTTTTAAGAAAGCAAAGTGGGAATTTTCTATCTTCCATGGCCACCGTGTATGGTTGGGCAGATTGTGTACTGCACAAGGGTTTCCAGACAAACAAGAAAAGTTGTAGGTGAAATGCAGTTCATCAAGCACGCACCCTGGTTGGGGTGGAGGGCTGTATTTGCACAAAGCAACTGTCTAGACTTTTCTGCAGAGAGCCAGATAGTACCTGTCATTGGCTTTTGTGGGCCATATAGTCTCTGATGTGACTGCTCAAGTCTGCTTTTGAGGGGCAGAAGTCACCAGAGACAACGTGTGTGATTGAGGCTGTGTCCCAAAGACCAATGCAGTTCCCGGTTTCTGCACTGTTGCAGGAAGTGCTTCCCAGGCAGGTGGAAGGCCTCTTCCTCCCCTCCTCTGCCTTCCCCTCCCTTCTTTTTGGATCAGAGGCAGAGGGTAGAGGAGACTCAGATGCCGAAGTCTATCTCAACAAAATGCTGTCCCTCTATCCTGGCTGGTGTGACCACGGTCTGCGTGAGCACCCTCGCTGCCTGCCTGGAGCCTGCTGCAGGGTGGGTTCTGCTCTGCACAGGGTGCCCYGGGGACTTCGGAGGATCCTCTGTGGATCAGCCTCAGGGACCCTGAGTCCCAGTCTCTGCCCCTGGCTTGGGGCCTGGGTGGCGTTGGACGGGTCCTCTGCCTCCGCCTCTTGGGTGGGAGACAGCGAACGGTGGAAAGGCCTGGGGTGGGGACAATGCTGATTGTCCTTGTCCCTGACCCTGGGTCACAGCGCTACTTCCCATGTGTGCTGTCCCGGCCTGGGAGGGGCCTGGCAGGCTGGGGACCCCTGGCTGTGAGGTCTTCGGGGCTGGGATGAGGTGCAGAGAGGACGATCGTCCAGGCTGGGCTCTGGGGACACCGTGTGAGGGTGGGGGGCACCCACMGGGGTGAGGAGAAGAGAAGGGGACAGGGAAGGACCTGAGGGGACACGGGCTCTYCTGGGCGTGGCCGGGGTGGGTGCTCCAGGGGAGGATGAGGACGAGGACGAGGATGAGGATGGAGGTGGACCGTGAAAGGCCACACTGACCCTGAAGGTGCCTTTGTGACAACATCCCTTTGAACTTGAACTTGGGTTTGAGAAGCCTGCCCACTGGCGTCTCTGGCCGCGGGTGGAAGCCGTGACTTTGGGGATGGCCGGGCCTTGTCTTTCTTTCTTCCCCACCCCCACCRCCGGCCCCGGGGAGGGGGCGTGGAGGGGGCTGTGGCAGGCCACCCTGTCTTCCTGGTTTTACTCAGTTGGGACAGTTTTGGAACAAGGGCATCATGTGGATCTGGGCTCAGCCACATCTTTTCCAAAGCCAGCATCTATTGAGTGCTTACTGTATACCAGCCACTGCATTCAGGGAGCAGTCTCCGCTTGGCCCTCTCCCAGCAGCTCTGTGAGGGAAGTGCCTCAGCCTCCACTTTACAGAAAGGGGACTGAGGTCCAGAGACATCGAGGGCCTCGTCCAAGGCTGCCCAGGCCAGAGGTGGCAGAGTCGGAAGGTCATGGGCCCCCAATGTGCCCTCTGGATGGACACTCCTGCCCAGCCCCGCTGCACCTGTGKGTTAGGCTGGGGGCTTCTGGGGCTGATGGCTTCACTCAGTGCTGGGACGGGGCACCCCCAGCTCCCCGACTCGGGATGGCAGGAGTGCCACCTGCTTGGTGGCCTTGGTGGCCTGTGAGGTGGCAGCTCTGACCCAGCAGGGTACCAGGTAGATTTGGGATGCAGGCGGTCCAGGCTGGATGCTGACTGTCCCTGGGTCCCTGGCTGGTCACCTGCTTGGCCTCCGGGGGCTTGGGGAYCTCCTAGAGCAGGGCACCCTGCCATGGGGGTTGCTTTAGAGGAGCAGGGGTGAGGGMTTTGTGTCACAGGTGACGTCAGCGGCCTGCCCCAGCCTCTGTCCCCYGGGGCAAGGGCGCCAGGGCCCGGCCCTCCAGGGGGACGCTGCTGTTCTAGGTCAGCGCTCGGTKGGCCTCGTCTGTGCAGCCGCAGCACAGGAGCTGGTCAGTTTCTGTACCCAGTCCCCCACAGGGGCTCCCGATGGCTTTAAGAAACTGTCACCTTGCCGTAGGGGACGGAGGGACAGAGGTGCTCTGTGCTGGAGTGGGGGGGACGAGGACGGGGCTGCAGGGAGCTGGGGAGGGCGGCTGCGGGTGCTGCGTGGCCTTCCTGGCCCGCCCTGTCTGCGCCAGCTCCAGCGCCCTCCYGCCTGCCCCCAGCCTGTTGGGTGGATCAAGGCGCCTCCTGACTCCCCGAGGCCTCCTGGTGGGGCCTGCGTCCCTGACCTGCTGGGGGCTGGACCGTGTGCTGGCCCGGCCTCCCGCCCTTCACAGTCAGCTCATGGCGTCCTCACCCGAGTCCCCTGGGAAGGAGCCATTAGCGTCCCTGATTGACAGCTGGGGAAGTGACACCCAGGGAAGGTTCAGGACCTGCTCAGGGTCAGCGCTGGGAGGACCTGGACCCGGACGGAGACAGAGTGCTCCCCGGTCAGTGGGAAAGGCCGGCGGTGGCCTGCGAGGTCTCCGGAATGAAGCCGTGAAGGGCTCCGCGGGGCAGCCTGGCAGGTGGCCCAGGTCCCAGCCCTGTCCTGTCCCTGCTGCACCCCTTGGCACCCCAGTCCCCTGTGGGAAATGGAGCTAATGGGAGGACCTGCCTCACCAGGCCCGCGGGGACCCAGGTGGGAGACGGTGGGTGCTCGGCCGTGTGCCCAGGGCCCGGGCATGGTGGCCCGGGCATGGTGGCCTGGGCATGGTGGCCCGGGCATGGAGGGAAGGGTCACTGAAGAGAACTGCTGGGAAGAGCAGCCACCTCAGCACAGGAGCTGGGACGGGTTGTGGCCCTGGCCCCACGAGGGAGCCCAGCCGTCCCTCCCCCAGCTGCTCGCGGGGCACGTGTGCGAAGCTAGGTGTGCGAGCCCGTGGGGGGGCCACGTTCCCACCCCGCTCCTGGCCTGGCACCCATGTCTCCAGGTTCCTGCCCTTCTGGGAAGTCCAGCCATGCCCCTCTGACTGATTAGGGCCTCTCAGCTCCTCACAGGGCTCCTGCCAGTCTGGCCACCCCGAGTCGAGATGGCCAGGGGAGGTGCCTGAGGGGGACCAGGAAATGGCGGCCCAGGGTCAGCAAAGGGGATTTAAGGAGGGAGGGGCTGTGGGCGTGTGGTGCACAACCATCCAGTCTTCCTCTGCCAGGCAGGGCCGGGACGGGCAGATAGGGACTTGTAGCCCGGGTCCTGGGTCCAGGTTGGGGGTGCTGCCTGGAGCTGCCCTTCTGCCGTCTCTCAGAGGTGTCCATAGGGAAGAGGTGCCCGTAGGTCCTCCTCCTGCTCTTGAAAGAACACAGAGAGCCAGGCCCTCGGGCAGAGGGGGGACCTCGGCCAGCACAGTGGGCACACAAGGCTCAGGGCGAGCAGCCCCGGAGACCCTTGGTGTGAGGCGCTAGTGCGCCTGTCCCTCTGTCAGTCAACCCAGGTGAGCTGTCTGCCACTCAGCCTGTCTGCCCACTAATGTCCACATGCTGGGCCAGGCAGGTGGCATCTTTGAGAAGGCCAGGACGTCACCACAGGAGGCAGCAGGACAGTGCGGGAAATGGCCGTGGCCCCTGTGTTTCCTTCTCTGGCTCCCAATGCCCCTGTGCCCTCATCCACCTGCTCTGTGGCCTGAGCCTGCCCTGAGTGGCCATGTCCCTGTGGGGCACCAAAGTCACAGGCTGCTTTACCTGGGCTGCAAARTGTCAGCGAGTGGGGAGCCCAGGCCACAGCGGTGCCCTGAGTGACTGGTGTGGACGCACCAGGGAGGGCCCCCCGGGGCCAAGAGTAAGGGCTGCAGCGCTGGCCGGCGGGCAGGGCAGGGTGCGCCGGGCACTGTGGGGAGGGTGTCCTGCACTCCAGTTCCCGGGACAAAGCCATTGCAGCCCCCCCAGCCCCCCCTCATGCTTTCTCCCTCCCCCCGCAGTGGCCCTGCCGCCCGAGAAGACCGACAGCCCAGGCCCRGGCCCAGGCCCAGGCGGCGGAGACGGGAAGAGGCTGGAGAGGGGGAGCGAATCCTGCCCGGGCTCCAAGAAGCAGCTCAAGTTCGAAGTGAGTGTCCCTTGCTGGGGCCGAGCCCCGGGGAGACGCCGGGCCGTCCCTTCCTGTGTGCTGGGCAGGCSAGAGACTCCTGCCGCCACCTCAGGGTGTCCTTGGCTCAGCACCGGCCCCGGGGACCCCGTGCTGCCCGTCCCTGGCCTGGCCGTGTGGGCAGGGCCAGAGCACCAGGGAAGGGCCTGGGGTGGTGGGAGGCAGGCTCTGACCCTGTCCGCTGCGTCCTCTCTGGGCCTGATCCTTGGCCTCCCTGGCTGCCCCTGGAGGCTGCCTGGCACACAGGTGGGGCTCTCAGGTGGGGGGTGACCAGGCCTCAGTTTCCGTGCGGTCAGCCTAGGCACGTGCCCTCCCAGAGCTCCTGTCTGTGAGGCCTGCCCCTGGCCTGGCCCCAGCAGTGCCTGAGGCCCGTCTGCACACGGAGCCCAGGGCCAGGGGTGGAGAGCAGACCCRGCCGCTGCGCGGAGCTCGCCTGCGCCTCTGGGCCCTCCCTGTCCTCCCCCCCGCCTCTGCTCTCCACCCCAGGCCCCGGCCARGGCTCGGAGTCGGCTCTGTGACTGTGGRYAAGTCCTTAAGCTCAGCCTCCCTTGCRTCACCTGGGCAGTGGGGATGACCATGATCTCAGCACGCAGGGAGGCTGGGTGGCACCCGCTGCTGAAGAGGGTGTCCCTCACAGTCCGCACGTCCCTGCCTTCCCACCAGTGCGGGTTGGGCACCTGGTGGTGGCCAGGGGCCCAGCAGTGACCTGGGCACAGATTTTGCCCTGACAGAGTGAGCAGCGTGGTCAGGGGGACAGAAGAGGGACCCAGACGAGTGGCCGCACAGTCAGCGATGAGATGGGCATCTGAAGGGCGGGTGGTCACCCAGTGGGCAGAGGTGGGGACAGGGGTAGAGGAGGGGATGCTTCGGCCGTCTCACACCGCGGTGCCTGCGGAGGGGCAGTGTGTGGCAGGTGGCACTGGGGCTGCGCCTCTGCGTGCAGGAGTAGGTTTGGGGCCAGGGTGCCAGGGGGCCCTTGGGACAGTAGGGCCCTTYAGGCCCAGGGGCCAGCAGGAGTGTGGGGCCTGGAAAGGCCCAGCCTGGTGTGTGGGATCTGCCCGGGGTGGTGGGCCTGGGGGCAGCGGGGGAGACCGGCCAGGGGCCCTGACTGCAGGGCCGAGGGGTCCAGGCAGGGTGTCCATGAGGGGCTAGGGCTGCCCCCTTCTCCTGGAGCTCAGCCCTGTCCTGAGCCACCTGGGTCCCCACAGGGTCTCCTGGGTGCCTGGCAAAGCTGAGGGCCAAGGCCAGCAGCCGGAGGAAGGTCCAGACCCAGGCGTCTGGCTGCTGGAAGCCCCAGGGTGCGCTTTCTGAGGGGGCGGCTGACTGCTGGGGACTGAGCCGTGCGTGGCCCGTGGAGAGCGCTCACCTGAAAAGCCCAGGTGGGTAGGGCGGGGCCGAGCAGGGCGCGCACCACGGAGGCCGGGCGATGGCCACACTCGCGTTCCGAGGGCCTGGTGTCACTGTCTGGGAAACGGTGGACGCTCCGTGTGGTTAGGCCTGTGTGCAGGTGTATGTGGGCACAGGTGTGTATGCGGGTGGTGTGGGTGTGGACGTGTGTAGGGGTGTGTGGGCAGGCATGGGTGTGGGGAGGTGTGTGGGGGTCGGTGTGGTAATTAGGCCTGTGTGTGTGTGTGTGTGAGGTGTGTGGATGGGTAGGTGGGGGGTAGGCGTGTGTGGGTGTGTGTTGGTGAAGGCACATGTGTCGTGACACCCTTGGAGAGCAGGGCAGGCCTCGCGCGTAGCTCAAGGACTCGTCAACACTGAGGAAGGCCGACATTGAACTCAGGGGGCCTCCAGAGGAGCAGATGGCTCTGGGCAGGGAGGCCGGGCAGGGAGGCCGGGCTGAACATACTCCTGCCAGCCTACGCAGCCCTGGGGGGCAGAGCCTATCGTCCTGCCTTGTGAGCATGTGGCATGTGGCAGAGGAAGGACAGGTGGAGTGAGACCCTCGGGGCACACCTGTCCTCAGGTGTACGGAATCTGGCGGCTCTTGAGGGCCTCTTTCCCCAAGTGGCGCTCGTTGGAGCCCTGTCCCTGTGATCCCAGCTGGCCTCTGCCTATAGACCGTGGTGACGGAGCGCACCACCTCCCAGTTCAGGTCCCTGGAGTTAGACATGGACGCTGCCAGCTGCGGTGAGGAGTTGGGTTGACCGTCAGAGCAGAGGACAGCCGCCATGGACTGGCTCCTCCTGGGGCCAGCGGTGTGCTGAGCGCGGAGTGTGCCACCCGTGCTCTCCACTCCCTTCCTGCGGAGTGGACCTTAGACCAGGACATGGGGATGGACAGTGTCCTGGAAGGGCCCCGGGAAGAGGGTGCTCGGGAGCAGGGGACAGAGGCTCATAAAGGGCGGGGTGACACACGGGTCACCTCCACCGGCAAACGGGGCTCTGTCCCTCTGGGGACAGAGGAGCCATATAGCAAGTGTCAGTGTGTCCCATGGAGAGGTGAGGAGGTGGGTGTTTGTCCCCTGGCTCCTGTCCYGCCCCTGTCCAGGGTGCCTCTGGGGTCTCCGGGGCTGCCCAGCAGGAGAGGCTGGTGCCTGTGGTGGGAGGTGGACGTGCTGACCGTGCTGCGGCTGCGGGGGAGAGTTTCCTCTTCTCAGCAGTGTGACGGGCTAGAGGCTGTCATTCTCCGTGGTTTATGGAGGGGAAACTGAGGCACGAGGATGCGGTGGCTCCCGTGTCCACAGCTGTGGAGAGCCCAGCCGGGCGAGGCCTGGTGGAGCCTGGAGTTTCAGCTGTCCCCGGCCATCCTCGGCTGCCTGCTGCTCAGGTGGCCCGTCCTGGGTCCTGCCTGGCTTCCGGTTGCCTTCTAGTGGCTCCTGGCCCTTGGTCCAGGCTCAGCCTCCTCCCAGATGGCGTTCCCTTGCCTCTGAAGACCCAGAGGCCGCTGTGCCCGGTGGGTCTCTCCCTGGTCACATGTGGGTCATTGTGCCCCTCTTTCCCTCAGGGTCTGGGGAGGCCAGGGGGCTGCCCCATGGCCTGGCCTCTGGACCCAAGACTTCGGCCAGTGTCCATGTGGTAGGTGACCAGCCCTGTCCGTCCGTTTGTGTCCAGGAGCTACAGTGTGATGTGTCCGTGGAGGAGGACAGCCGGCAGGAGTGGACCTTCACCCTGTATGACTTTGACAACAATGGCAAGGTCACCCGCGAGGTGAGTGCACCTGTGGGGTCTCCTGGCCACCGTCAGGCCCCTGGGCCTGGGGACCTGGCCCTCCGCCTCTGCTGACTCCCCAGCCCGTGCCAGTCTGCTCCTGAGAGAGGGTGCAGCTGGCCGCTGGGGTTGGGGGGTGGGGAGYGAGGCGCCAGGAGCTTCGGGGAAATGCAGAGGCCCTCCTGGTGCCGCAGGAACGCGGGGAGAGGTGACAGGCAGGAAAGGCCACCCAGGCCCTGCACTGAGCCTGGCCAGTGCTGCTGGGGAGGGCCAGGAGGCCCAGAGTGCCCTGGAGAAGGACCAGTCCCAGRAGAGTCCTGCCTTGTTTACTTCTCTACGTCCCCAGCTCTAGGGGCGCGGCCTGGCCACCCCAGGCCACTTCCGGTGCCCGGCTGTTTGGTTCAGGGGCTTGGGCAGGGCGGGCACCCCAGGCTCCACGGTCCCTCCTGCATTGTCACGGGAATGAGCAGCCCTGCTCTCAGAGCCCGGCACRTGGCTCTGCAGCCACAGCTCTGGTCACAGCACGCTGCCCTCGCGGTCTCCCTCGTCCTGCCCCCCCCGCGGGGCCACCTCTGTCCCCCTCAGAGCCTTCCTCCCATAGCTTGCTCCCCCAGATTCCTCTCCCCTTTCTCCATGCCGGTGGCTTCACCAGCCGGGCACCTGACCCACGCCAGCTGCAGGACACGGCGGGGACGGACAACAGGGCTCCCCACCTCTCGGCTCTGACGGCCAGTGGGCGTGGAAGACCATTTTAGGATGGCGTCAGCCGCTGAGTTCTGTGGACATTAGCARGGCGGTCGGTGGAGCCTGCGGGTGCAGGGAGGGCTCCCTGGAGGAGGAGCTGGGTGCTGAGCGGCAGCTGCAGGCTGCAGGGAGGGGAGGCAGAGCGCGAGGCCGCGGGGGAGCTGAAGGAGGCCGGCTGCCTCACAGGAGAGACACAGCTCGGGCGGGGGTCTGCGGGGCCTGTCCACCAGCTCCAAGGCCCTGGAGGGCAACTGTGTTTGATTGTCCATGCCAAAGGGACCTGCGGGCGGCTTGGTGTCATTCCTTTGCTTCCTGTGTTCTGGATCAGCACKGCTGGGCTCCTCCCCTGCCTCTGGTCCAGCACGGGGGACTTCGCGGTGTCCCTGCTTCATCTCCTCCCGGGTCAGGGAGCACTTACAGTAGGTGTGGTAGATAGATTTATGGGTCACGGTGCTCGCTGTCCATGGCTGTCACAGAGCAGGGGACGGTCGGCTTCTCAGGAGAAAAGGTTGTTTCGGCTCAGAGGCTGCAGGTTCTGGTCCGTGTTTGGTCGGCCCTGTGGCCTTGGGCCYGTGGTGGGTGGCACATTCTACGGACAGAACCTCTCACCTCGTGGCCGGGAAGTAGAGACAGAGGACCAGAGCTGGAGTCGCACAGTGCCCTCTGAGGACACTCTCCCGATGGCCTAGAGACCTCCAGGAGGGCCCCGCCTTGGTCCTGGGGACTTGCAGAGCACAGGGTCAGGCCCCCGCTGCATGCCTGCCCCCTGCTCCCACGGGCTGCTCCTCCGGGTGGAATTCCTTATCCTCGGCCCTGGATCAGCCAGGACCTGCTGAGGCCACAAGGCGGGGCCCGCGCCCTCTATGGCGTCTGATGCTTTGGGGATGCGGGGGGTGGACTTGGATGGCTCCACCTTCCTGGTGACCCCTCCTCATGGGCTTCCCAAGATGGCGAGAGAGAGGGTGACGTGACTGTGCAGAGCGGCTCAGGGAAGGAAGGGGGGGCGGGTCCCCATGGGCCTGGCCCCAAGAGCCGGGAGAGTCGAGGGGACCCCGAGTGAGGRCTGGAGCCTGGCTGTCGCCGGCAGCCCCCCAGCTCAGTCAGACCCCCCCACGTGCCATCYGGTCCTTCCGAGGCTTGAGTTAAAACTAAAGGTCAATATCCACGATTCCGGGGATTTTACAGAAGGTTCTGGATTTCTGGCTTCTCTGAGATGACCCTCAGCCCGCAGAGTCAAGGGGCAGCTCGGCTGAGCTGAGGACTGTCCTCCCGTGGGTGGGACTGGCTCCAGACTGACCCCACCACTCAGCTCCCCCSGCCACACRCCCRGCCTGGGGCTCCTSGGCCTCCTCKGCCTCCTCGGCCTCCTCTGCCTCCTCGGCCTCCTCTGCCTCCTCGGCCACAGGAGGAAAGGGAGGTGGAGTCTGTCGGAGCTCACGAGCAGAAAACTGTCTGTGGACCTGGTGGACGGAGAGGAAAGACCTTTTCCAGAAGGTTCCAATATCATTTCAAGCAGGGAGCTGCCCTACAAAAGACCCTAGCAGGTCCCAGAACCAAGGGAGCCTAGCCTGGGGCCTGGGACCCCCCACCCTCTCAGAGTCTTTGAGGCACAGGTGCTGCTGGAGACCCAGTTAGGGTTCCGGGGGTCACCGAGGCCCAGAGAGGAGATTTGGTCGGGTTCTCGCAGACTGTCTTCTAGGGACTCTCTTGGGCAGCTCAGCTGCCGTGACCGAGGGCCGCAGACTGGGTGGCTTTGACAACAGGATGGYGGGAGTGGAAGCTGGAGACCCTAGCTGACCTGGTTGGTGGCAAGGGCTGCCCTCCCGCTGCCTCCTGTCGGCTCTGCCGTTTCCTCCTCTTACAGGGGCATGAGCCCTGGAGGATTCGGGCATGACCTCACTGGGCTTCAATTTAATCACCGCCAGCCCTGGACAGTCGGCATAGGACGGGGAGGGCCAAGTCCGTGCCCAGTAGGGACACATCTGCTTTTCCATTTTTTGCTCAGAAGATGTTCATCCGACCAGATGCTGCCCGTGCCCCAGCTCCATGTTCCCTGGGTCCACCTCTCGGTCCACCTGGTGCTCTGGGGACAGTGCGCAGCCAGGGAGCTTCCTGTGGTGCGGGGAGTAGCTCAGCCCTTGCAGGACAGGCTAGAAGCACYGGGGTGTGGCACACATGGGGCACCTTTTCTAGGGAGTGGGAGGGATGGGGCTGGTTTGTAAACCCACCACCCAGCAGTGAGGCTACTGGGGACAGATTGCACATGGTCCCTCAGAGTGCCCGGTGTCACTGGACCCCAGTGGCCCGTGGCTGTAACCTGYCCTCTGATCTTTTCTGAATATGTTTTTTCTCCCTTCATCCGCGCTGCTCTCACTCCTGCTTCTAGGACCTCCAGATCCAGCCCCCCATCTCTGCTTCTGCCCCCATCTCTGCTTGGGGCGGCCGGGGGTCCCAGCAGTGAACGCCAAGCAGGCCTGTGAGGGTGCTGTGCTGACTCCCGGCGGGTGTCGCTTGCTCCCCGCAGGACATCACCAGCCTGCTGCACACCATCTACGAGGTGGTCGACTCCTCCGTCAACCACTCCCCGGCCTCCAGCAAGACGCTGCGGGTGAAGCTCACCGTGGCCCCCGATGGGAGCCAGAGCAAGAGGAACACCCTCCTCAGTCAAGCYGGTGAGGGACCCTCCATGTCCAGGGGGCAGTGCCTGGAGAGGGAGGGGCTTCCCGGGYTCTGCGGGCAGCCACCCTGCACCTGGGGGTCTGGTGGGTCCTGAAGGGCTAGGGCGGGGGTGGGGAAGGGAGGCCCTGCTCTGGCACAGGTGTGCAGGTGGCCTGGGCCTGGCAAGCAGCCAGCAAGTGGAGCTGGGGACGGCAGGGGCTGGCGGTCAGTGGGACAAGTAGCTGCGAGACCCCTGTGTTTAGTGTCAGCTCAGGGACCCTCCACAGAGTGGTGGCAAAGCTGCTGTGGGCAGTTTTCTGTGGCTGCGTGCCAGGCGGCCCCGGGCAGGGCCAGGAGCCAGCCACTCATCGATGCTTCTTGTGCTGCGGGGGCACTCAGACCTGCAGAGCACCAGGCCCAGAGCAGAGACCAAGCCGGCCGAAGAGCTGCGGAGCTGGGAGAAGAGGCAGCGAGCGCCCCTCAGGTACCRGAGGCGCACACCCGTGGCAGCCTGCTGCTCCTGACACCTATTGAGCACCAGCTGTGTGCCTGCACCTGAGAGATGCCGAGCCAGAGGCTCTAGTCTGGCTCTCTTCAGGGGCCGAGGATCTCGCACACAGCTCCACAATCAAACCTTAGAAAGCTGAGGAGCTGTGGCCCGTGTTGCTGATGCCGAGCCCCGTGGCAGTGCGTGGGGTGGACGCAGCGTGGGCTGGGTGCCTGCGTACCTCCCCTCCCTGTGGACGGGCTTGGGGCAGCTCCTGGGACTCCTGCTGGGTGAGGTGGCCTGTTCCCATGCAGTAAGACAAAGCCCAAGTGCYTCTCCCTCCCTAGGGTGGCCTGGGACACGTTTATTCAGACATGGGGGGGTTCAAAATTGTGGTAACAGCTCACGAGGCTGCAGTTATGTCACCTCTTGTCACTTCTGCACCTGCAAAGGGGATGGGAGAGGCTATTTAAGGACAAGCTTTGAGTGACAACAGAGCCGCAGGTGTGCAGCCAGTCACACCTGTGGGTGGGCAGCATGGAAGCACCTAGAGGGGTCAGTCCTCTCCAGGAGGGAGAAGGCAGCTGGTCAGAGCAGGGCGTGGCAGGCAGAGGCCGGGCCAGAGGCCAGCTGGGGGGGGTGCTGGCCTGCAGGAGGTGGGCAGACCACAGTGGAACTGGAAGGAGGAGCAGGTGGCCCAGCGTCCTGCAGGGGAGGAAGGAGGCCTGTGCCGGCACACTTACACACACTCACACACAGCTATAGACACAGTAATGTGCACACATGTGCACATCCACCCACACACCATACCCACACACACTGTCACACTCCTGATACTGCACACTGATAGAATACACTTGTGCACATGGCCATGCACACAAATATAAGCACATGTGCACATGCACACACTTGTGAAAACACATATGCATGTGCACACATGTACACTAACATACATATTCACAGATGCAACCCCATACAGACACACACACACAAACACCCAAGACATGGAAATACACATACACAATGTAATCACATGCCCACACATAGTCACATATATGCAAACATCCATCACACTTGCACACCACACATGCACACATGTACACCCACACCTGTACACACACCCAAAGCACACACACATGCACACATGTACAGATACTTATGCTCACACACAATGCACACATGCATTTGCTCACTCGCACACACTCACTCTAATACCCACACACACATATGTGCTGGTGAGGCCCCTGGGTTTGGGCAGGTCGTGGAGTCTGCCAGGCTCAACACCAAGTGTGGGGGTTCCGCTGCCCCTGCCCCCTGGGGAACCCAGGTACTGGCTGCCTGGCTGCAGTGGGTATCTCCGGCTTGAGCCTGGTTTGGAGTATCCTTGAATTCTCACCAATAACTCTGCACGTTTGCCTTTGGCCTGTTCAAGGGGAAACCCTCTCCACTCTTCCCAGCAACCACAGGAGGCTGGCAGGGGGCTGTGTCTCGTGGGCAGGGTGGAGATGGAGACAGGTGGCAAAGAGGTCCCGTCCTCCCGTCCCCTCACTCCAAGACCCAGAGGGACGATCCAGGGGTCCAGTATTTGTCCCGCAGCCTTCTGGCAGCCTGTGGGGTGTCCCCCGGAGCCCAGTGCCTGGTCCCTCACAGGCCTCCCTCACGGCAGGTTCCAGGGTGACAGCCGCCCGGAGCAGGCCGGCTGCTACCACCATTGCGTGGACGAGAACATCGAGAGGAGAAACCACTACCTGGACCTGGCAGGGATAGAGAACTACACATCCCAGTTTGGGCCTGGTAAGGGACACCRGCATGGGGGCGGGTGCAGAGGGCCATGGCCGGACGGGTCAGAYGCACCATGTCCAGTGGTGGTCACTTCCCCCGGGCTTTGTGGGGAGAAGTGGCTTTTACTAGACAGATCAGAGACTCTGTTTGGAGGAGGGGACATTAAAAGCATTGTCAGATTTAAAGTGATACATGCACAGATTGGTACAAAATCGAGTGTCTGAGGACTCGGCAGGTGATAAAYCATAATGGCTCCCTGCTCTGCTGCCCACGTGGCCACTCTGGCTTCTRGTGACTCTTTCCCTACCCTGCCAACCGCCCATCATTTCCCTCCTCCGGCTTCCTCTCCCCTTCCCCTGCGAGAGTCCTCCACAGGTCTCCTCTGGGTAATGGCTTGGAATTCTTTCCTGCCCCAACAACCTTATTATCTCGTCTCGGTCACCATCTCTGTCCCCCAGCTCTCTCCCAGAGAAGAATGATTATTTTTGAAGATCTACTACAGAACCACTTAGCAGATAGGAGGTTCCATTCAGAGTTTCCCTTCAAGGCAGCGRGGGGCATTGGGGTGGGTAGCCCTGATAACGGAGAGCCGGCCTTTATCATTCTTGGGGTTCAGGGGGGTGGGGGTAGCCCCCGCACACTGTAGGTGCTCATGAAACGTCTGTGGAATTGGTTTCTAGGCTCCCCGTCTGCGGTCCCGAAGTCAGAACTGCCCCCCCGCACCTGCAACCCCGCTCGGTCTCGCTCCCAYGAGCCAGAAGCCGTCCACGTCCCACACCGGAAGCCCCAAGGCGCGGACCCAGGCTCCTTCCACCTCCTGGACACCCCGTTCTCCAAGGTCTCCGAGCTCCAGCAGCGGCTCCGGGGCGCCCAGGAYGGGAGCAAGCACTTTGTGAGATCCCCCAAGGCTCAGGGCAAGAGCGTGGGTGCGGGCCACGTGGCCAGAGGAGCAAGAAGCAAGCCCCCTCTGGCGCCTGCTGTCCCCGTGGTGTCCCCCTCGGCCCACCCGGCCACCAGTCCAGCCCTCCTCCCCACCCTGGCGCCCCTCGGGCACAAGAAGCACAAGCACCGAGCCAAGGAGAGCCAGCCGGGCTGCCGGGGCCTGCAGGCGCCGCTGGGCGCAGGCTCGGTCCTGGGGCGGGAGCACGTGAGGGAGCTGCCCGCYGTGGTGGTGTACGAGAGCCCGGCCGGGCAGGTCCAGAGACACGAGCACCACCACCACCACGAACATCACCACCACTACCACCACTTCTACCAGACCTAGGCCCAGGCCCCTCCCCGAGGCGCGATCCTATTAATTATTGTTATGATGACGACGATTGTTATTAATAATTATTGCTACTCCACTAATATCTAGCTAGCCTTCCTGTAGAAGATCCATGGAAACACAGAAGGAAATTTTTATTTATATGTTGTGGGGACCGCGTAACACCCCAGAAACGACTCGGGGTTTGGGAAGGGGCCCGCAGACGGGGCAGGCTCCCTGGGGCTCCGGAGCTGCGGGGTCCCTGAGGATCGGCCCACACCCTTCCCAGCGCCGCAGGAGCCAAAACTCCACCCCACCCCAGTCCCTCTCTCCCAGGAGAACACCCTTCCCCCGTCCGGCTTCAGAGCGCCTCCGAGTCTCTGAGAGACCCACAGCTGCTACCTCTTACTCTTCTTCTGATTCGATTTTGCCCTTAACCGGTGGTGACATGCGACAAGGGATCTCAGTGTGGACTGCAGACACGCGACCTCCCTCCTGTTGTGCTTTTATGTCCCAACCTGGAGACCTTAGCGCTCCTTTCTGGAGTTTTCTTTCACGCCTTCCCAGTGGGATTCACAGCCTCACCCCCAAAAGCCCCCTCTCTCCTGCCAGGCACCACATGAGAATCCACTCCTCCTCCTCCTCCGTCCCCCTTCTCCTCGCTTCTTTTGAAAGACAGATGTCCACATGTTTAAGGACCGTCCCTGAAACCAGCCTTCTCGTTTTGGAAACCGCTAAAGAGAGAACCAGCCACGTAAACACGTTGGTTTCCCCAGAYGGAGCAGTCTGTGCGGTGTTGGCCGTGGGGACCTGGTGTCTCACCACCGGCAAACACCTGTGCTCCTGCGGGGTCCTCCGACAGCCTCCATATCCATAGGGAGACGCCGCCCCTCCGTGTCCATGCACCGTCCTATAAGTGCGTCTCAGGTCCCGCTGCTGGTGTGYGGGCATCTGGTCTACCTCTCTGGATGCTTCCTGAGACCAGACGTGACCCTGGTGCCTGCTGTGGGSTGGACGGCCATCAGATACAAAGAGCCACTTGCCGCATTGGAGGTCCTTTTTCAAAATTTGGGGTCTTCCGATTGTGGAGAGACCTGCTGGGGCACAGATGCTTGGAGGGGAATAGGGACGAGGGCCAGGGTCGGGATCCTGGGGCACTGTCCTCTGTAGAGAGGAGTTTGCTGGCCGGGACCTGGGAAGAGGAGGAAAAGGACCACTGTCCACCAGGCGGGGGCCGACCAAAAACATCACATACTCAAATTCGGCCCTTTGAGGAGAGTTTGGTGAAGGGGTTATTGACAGAGTGAGGACAAGCATCCYGAGACACTGCAGAAGCCCAGGCTAGCACCCGGGGCCACCCCACCCATGGGCCTGAGGGAGGAGGGGTCATCCTTGGCAGAGTCGGGGGGCTGAGGGACATCTGTAGGGGACATGACCGAGGGATGCTGGGGCCTTCCGGGGGCGTGAAAATCCTGACCCACGTTCCTGCTGCTCTGGGTTCTGTCAGGGCCCCCGTGGCMGAGATCACCAGGAGCAGGGAGCTTGTGGATGTGGTCACAGGGGCATTCTGGAGAGGGGACAGTGAGTCTGGACTCCAGCTCCTCCTTCCTGCTGTTTGGTCCTGTAGCTGGGGTCCTGCCTCCAGCGGGGGTTGGTGTGGTGGGGAGCAGCTGCGGTCACCCTTTCAGTAGTGCTTCTAGTTACTCGAGTCCCTGGGACAGAAGAGGACCACCCTCAGGACCACCCTCACAGGCAGGTGGTAGAGGCTCAGGCACCCCATCTGGGGCTCAGAGGGGCTAAGTGACTCTCTTGAGGCCACACAGTAAGAGGYGGGGCCGGGGCGCCATCTTCCGCAGAGTCGGGTACCCACTGGAGAGGCAAGCCCCCGGGTCTTAGATTCCTTGCRTGAGGCTGTGGGTTTCTGTTCAGTTGGGACCCAACTCAAACTGAGCTGAATGTGACCAGACACGGGGGAGGCAGGGCTGGCTTTGAGAGGAGGGCATCCAGGTGTGACTGAGCCTGAGAGGTGTCCTTGTTCTTCCCTCTCTGGGACCTGGACCCTGAGACTAGCTGAGGTCCCAACTCTTGGCACTCGGGGATCCAAGACCAAAAGGAAAGTTTTCTGATTGGCTGGGCTTAGATCAGGTGCCCACCCCTGAACCAACCCCGTGGCCCCCTGGGTCACATGTCCACCGTGGCAGGGTCCTGGTCAGCACCAGAAGGCAGCAGGGGAGCAGTGCTGAGCAGAGGGGCACTAAGGACCCTCTGGCCAGAGGTGCCAGGACAGTGGACACTGGCCAGGGGGCTGGGGTCTGTGGTCTTGGAGCAGTTCCGTGGCCTCTTAGAGGAGGCTCCTGCTGCCTCCTCCCGCCCCCTGCTGCCTCCTCCCGCCCCTGCCCGTCAGGATTCTGTGGTTGGTAACTCTGACGGGCCCAACTTTAAGAAATCATTTTAGAAACAGCAACGTGCACATGGTAAACAATTCAAGTAGTACCAGAAAAGCAGACTGTCCCTGTGGGGACAAGTCCCTGTCCCATCATCCCAGCCACCCAGTCTCTGGTGCAGCTTCCTGGAGCCTCCAGGACGGAACGTGCGGTAGGGGTTGTGAGCGCAGACTCGGTGCCGAGCTGCTGGGGTGGAGTCGGCTCTGGCTTCACAGCTCTGGCTTCAAGTGAAGCACTGGGCTTCCGTTTCCCTTCTGTGAGCGCTGTTGAAGGGGTAGCTGACCCTGGTTCCCAGAATAAATGCATTTATGTAAAATACCTCCCCACTCAAATTTTGTTRATTTTTAAAAATTTGCAAATGCAAAGTCTGAAGCAGGAGCGGGTACCAGAAACTGAGCGCACCTCCAGAGTTTGCAAACGCTGCCGATCTGTGATCTTTATTTCAGATCTATTTTTAAGAAAGAAAACCCTGCCCTTCGGCGACTGCTGACCCCTCCCAGACCCGCCCTTTTATTTTTACACAAGGTCTGGCATACTCCTCGTGCTTCTCTCCTTTTCCCCTGCGACCTGACGTGTTTGGAGAGTCCCCACGCCCTCTGTCACTGAGCCTGGTCCCCTTCTCTGGAACAGCTGCTTGGCCTCGTCTTGCTTAGAGGTGTGTCGCCTCCTGGAAGCCAGCATGTGGGCCATGTCTCRCCCTGGGCTGTGACAGACACGCTGCATGGAGGGTCTTCTGTGTCTCGTCTCGGTGTCCCCCCAGGAGAGCCCTGGTGACGGAAAGTGACAGAAGGTGTTGACACGGAACTGCTGAGCTCAGGAGCGATGTGATTTCAATTTTGATGCCATTGGAAGTGACCTCTTAAAGTGGTCGTACCCGTTAGTTAGAAACTGAAGGGAGGAGAGAGAGAGAACCGGAGGAGGAGGTAGGAGAGAGTAGGAGGAAGAGGGAAAGCCCGGACCTGGGGTCAGGTTTGGAGCACCTCCTGCAGGCTGGGTGGCACGTCTGACCCCCAGTCCGGAGGACACTGCTGCTGCCCTGGCCCTGGGTTCCGAGCATGGGGCTCTCCTGGGGCCAGGGGCAGCGGTAGGGAGACAGGACTCCTGGCACATGGCACAGCTGGCTGGCAGGAAAATGCCATTTCCTCTGACGTGTCACTGGGCTCAGAGGACACCTGGCACGTTCAAGGAGGCCCGGCAGGGAGGGTCAGGGAGCCCAGGGGCCACTACACAGATGCCCAGCCATGAGGTTCCTCTTTTTTTTTTTGGCAAAGGAAGCAGCCTGGAGCCATTTCTTTGGCCCCCTGGTCCCTGCCCCTTTCTCAGCATCCAGAGCTGGCACCGTGGCTGAGCAGGGGTGGGCAGCCGCACACAGAGGTGGCCCCGGGAGGCCCGCGCCTCAGCACCAGTTGTGACAGAAGCCGTGCTGATAACCTGGGAGGCTGCGGGTGCTCTGGGGACTGGAAGGGAGCCCTAAAGTGTGCTCAGGGCCCGCAGCCCACGAGGCCCGCCCAGCACCCTCAGCGATCCGGGGACACGCCCTAGGAGACCCACAGCAGCCTGCGCTTGTCCGCTCCCGCTCCCCAGCCGGCCTCCTGGTGCCTGCCCGCCGGGCTTCCGGGTCCCCGCTCCTCACAGGCTTGGCGCGGATTTTGCAGAGCAGACAGATGGGTCAGCTACCTGCTCCTTAAGTCCTAAAACCCACACCCAGAATGCCTCCCCGTCATTAGCTTTATCTCCTCCCTTGTTGGGGGTCATTAGCGCCTCCCTTGGTTGTCTCCCCCTTTTTTGGGACTAAGGTCTGGTCTTGGTCTATCACCTCTCCAGCCACCAGACCTGTGAAGCCACCCCTTCTCAACTGCACCAGAGAGGCCCCCCCGTGATTGTCCTGGTGATGAGKGGATTTGCCCACAGGGTCATCCTGCAGCCACACCTTCCTCTGGCGTGAGAAGGGGGTGAGTGGGACCCTCTTTCCAGAGAAGCAGCTGAGGACGAAGAGGCAGAGGCTGCTTAGGTGCCTTATCCCCCCAGCTGGCCGGGTGGACGGCCCCCCCTCCACCTTTTCCCATGATGGGAGAATCCTGGTACAGTTAGCCTACGCGTCTGGCAGAGGCAAGAGGGTCCCCTCTGGACGTGTGACCCCAGGTGTGACTTTGGCAGAGAGCSGTCTGTTGGCAGTAGGTGGGGCGGCGGACCAGGGTGCTCACACCGGGAATTCTCATCCTGTGTTTCCGAATCTCCTGGGCAGAGTTCTTTCGAAGACCAGCACCCGGTCCCACGTCTGTAGGCGCTGACTCACGAGTCCAGTGAGGCCCAGGCGTTGAGGYGCATCAGTCTCCTGGTGACATCCCGATGGCTAAGACCCTTGCCCTTTCCCCAGATGACCTCAGAACACCCTTTTAAGAAGACACCTAGCTCCCCGTGCGGTTAGCGTCTCCCAGAGAGCAAATTAAATGGCAGACACCCAGCCCACCCAGAGATCAGGTGGGTCTGGGGGTGGGGACGCAGTGACAGTGCTTTAATAAGCTCCCTGTGCCCAGGAAACGGTGATGCAGTGGGCCCRTGGCCACAGTCCGAGGACACCAAGCGCCTGTCCCTTGAAGCAAGCAGGATGGGATTCGGACTGCGCGGCTGGARTGTGGCCGGGAGCCGCGAGTCCCTGGCGCTCCCCCACGTGCTGGCCTCCTCTCTCCCTAGACGC